CTACTCGTGCGATATGATAGATGAGCAGATGATTGCGGGACTTGCCAACAAGGAGCACCAGAATCGAGTTTTGGCCGAGGCTGCCAACCTCACCACACACAAGCAAAAGTTCGACGACAGACAAGTCAGCTGCACGGTTACTAAATAATGTTATCCCTTCAACCTAGTCCTACCTACAGATATCTGACCACGAGCGCAGTGCGCTTAGACAACCCCGAAGAACTAATGTGCACGCTTCTTCACCGAATAATAATCCTTGTGTGGATTGCGGGAAGAATTAGTAGGAGAGATTTCCCAGCAGTATAATAATTGCGGGATCAGGGGTCACGTAAAAAGGGTATGCCAGAAATCTACTAAAATTGAAATTGGAGCCTCGAACAGATAACAAGGTGCGAGACAGGGCGCGAGTCGTTCACTTTCTCAAACACTAGTCACGGCTCAACTCGTTGAAGGGTGCAAAGGAAAATGTCCTGTTTACATACGCACGAAGAAAACCCATCCCAGCAATGTCTAGTTCCCTCCGACAGAAACCAACAGGCACCTACTGGAATGATGGATACGTAACTATTTCAAGTCCAGCGCATTTAATACATGTCCATAACAACCCTTACAAACTATGGCAGGAAAGCTATTGGGCATTACCTTCATCCCTGCTGCGACGCCATCAGCGGTCCACAGACCAATTCCTGTCCCTCACCATTGGAAGAAGAGAGTGAAATAAAACCCCGATCGAGATGTCACATTGGGTATAATTGAAGCGGTGCCAGTGTGCATTCCTACAACCTGGTGCTCAAGGATAATAGTTGCATTCAAAAAAGACGGCTCCCCTCCAGGCGCGCAGTGAATTTACAAGAACTGAACGCTGCCTCCATGAGGGAAAACCATCACACCCAGACCCCATTTAATCAGATCTCCATCATTCCATTTCAGACAAGGAAAACTGTTCTGGGCGCATGGAACGGGTACTACAGCTTACCGCTTTCCCTAGCCGCACAAGATACCACTACATATATCACTGGATGGGGCCGGTAAGATATCTTCATGCTCCCCAGGGATTTCACGTGTCTGGAGACATAGATACTTGTCGGTTCGACGATATTACAGTGAACATGGTTCGAAAAACCCGTTGCCTCCTCTGGGACGATTCTATAGAATTCTCATTGTGGCATGATGGAATATATAACCGACTGTGGTAAGAATGGGATTGTGTTTAACCATGACAAATTCCATTTTGCTGAGAATGTAGTAGAGTTCTTAATAATGGCCGATAGTGTGAAACTAACAAAGAAAATGACTGAGGCCATCCTTCACTTTCCTACGCCCACAGATATCACGGGTGTCAGGTCTTGGTTTGGACTGGTGAATCAGGTATCTTATGCATTCTTGCAAGTAGAAATAAAGCCCCTCCCCTTCCGGGAATTACTGTGCTCGAAGAAACGAAAATTTTATTGGGACGAAACGCTTAACCAACTTTTTTAGGCGTCAAAGTGAGCATTCATGTGGAAAAATGAGGACGGAGTCAATACGTTCGAGAGCAGTAGAACAACATGCTTTTGAACAGATTACAGTAAAACAGGGATAGGTTACTTTCTTTTTCAAAAACACTGTAACTGCTATGACGAAGCGAACCCAAATTGCAATGATGGTCACTGGAAAATTGTTTGGGCCGGATCTCTCTTTACCAACGACGCAGAATCCCGCTATGCATCGGTCGAAGGTGAAGTCCTTGCTTTTGTCTATGTAATGTAATCATATCTGATGTTTATATTGGGATGCTCAGATTTGCTAGTGACTGTCGAACCAATCGTCAGTGCAATCAAGGCTGTATTCATGTCCGCATACGAACATGACCCTAGATTGAGGACAGTCTTATAGGATAGGATCCATTGATGAAGAATGTCGGACTCTGACGGAATATATACGGACTGGTTTCTCCAAATTACGCCATGACCTCACGTCGGTGATCTCTCGGTTTGGGCCAAAGCGCGAGAAATTGTACTGCGTCGAAGGAATACAGATCAAAGAGAATAAAATCCTCGGGCGGAAGTACTTTAATCCCTATATATTCTGCATACTAGGGCGTAAATGGCATGCTACCAAATGCGAGACAACACCTGTTTTGACCTGCTTTGGATGCTAGCGTCCGACAGACCAGAGCCCAATTCCAAATATGTAACTCTATTGTCCCGTCAAGGCCTAAGGAGCATTTGATGCCGCTGTCTACCCTTGAATTACCATTCCAACAAACTGCAATTGACTTATTTGACTTACACGGTAGAAATTATGTTACATACGCAGATCGGTACACTGGCTGGGTGGAAGAGGCCCTAATGTCATCCGTGAAAGCCAGGGTAGTATGTGACACCCTGAGAAATTAGTTCTGCGTATATGGTACGCCTGAAGAACTTTCTTTCGACAGGAAACCGCCTTTTGATTCCAAAGAATACGACATTTCTTAAGAATACGCAAACGTACTTCGTCGGCTTGCTGCCCACAAAGCAAGGTCGGGCAGAACTGACCGTCAAAACGGCTAAGCGTATACTCGCAGATAACACGAACAGCTGTAGTCGGCTGTGTCATGATCGTGCAGCTCGTGTTTTTCTGACCCAACGCAACACTCCCGTCCAGTATTTTTGCATGTCTCCTGCTATGATGTTATACGGTGGTGTTATCAAATACTACATCCCTGTCCTACTGGACATATATCAGATACGTAATCAGTGGAGAGAAATTAGTGAACTGAGAGTGGCAACAATGTCTAAAATGCACATGCGGAACGAACACTTTTACAATAAAAATTGTCACTCACTTCGGGAATTACAAATTGGTGATTCTGTTCAGATTCAGAATCATAATGAATTTTACCCTCGTCGATGTTTGAAAACAGGGAAAATCATAGAGATACTCTGCAACCGGCAGTAAAGTGTGTGGGTGGATGGAAGCAGTCGTGTAACTCTATGCAACCATAAGTCAAAGTTTCGACATATGGTTATGGATAGGAATAGAATAGTCATCTCCAGATGTTCTAAAGGAACTGGTAATTAAATTAACACATGAAGGACATCAAGACATAGTGCAAACAAAAATCATCTAAGATCCTAATAATGGTGGCCTGAAATGGACAAAATAGCTAAAAAGAAAACGAAAGCATGCTACCCATGTTAGGTAGTAGGGGAAAATGCCCCACCAGAAGAATTAAAAAGCACAACATTATTAGATAAAGCATGCAGCTACGTTGCAGTAAACTTACTGAATGTCTCTGAAAAATTATTACCTTGCTATCATTAACTATTACAGCAGATGACCAGAGGTAGCTTATATGCAAAGAACTGTGTGATAATTGTCCTAGAATTAGCATTCAAAACACATGGATATTCACAATACCTAAAAAGTGACAATGGACAACCATTTTCATCCAGTGAATTTCAAGGATACATAATCTTTCATGGTATTCTCCAAGTTAAAGGCATACTGTATAAGCCTTAATCCAATGGAGAAGTGGAAAGGTTCAGTAGGAATATCTTTGAATCAATCAAATTTGCAAAAGTAGAAGTAACTCTGAAATAAGGAACCTTTTGTTTCAGTATCACACTACTCCTCATATAGTAACAGGATTATCTCCAGCCAAACTGTTAATGAACTGTGTATTCTGAGGAAAATTGCCAAGTATTACAGATATATCCAATGAGTTTACAGATATACATGACAGATTCTCTTCACAAACTAAAGTGAAACATTGTTGCTAACTAAAGAAGAAAACCCAAAGATCAAGAGATAAAACCAAGAAATACTGTATTGTGCAAGAACCTACACAGAAACAATAAACTGGAAGTCATCATTGAAATGCAATCTTATAAAGTTATGGAAAATGAGGTAATGCCGTTATTGTACAAAAACCTAAAGGTCAACCCAAGATGAGAAATGTAAGAAGGTTTGATGGTGATATACCTCATAGTACTGACCACCACAATTCACCAGACTCTGATCATCTCATTTTTGACAATGATCATCTTACTCCTGGCCTAGACTCTCATGATCATTCTCCTACAAAACATACTCCAGTCAGCACACCTATGTCAACTTCAGACACAGACACGTCAAACAAAATATCTAGTGTTAGATCTGCACTCATATAGCAGAAAGATTTCATCATTTTTAATTAAAAAAAAGAAGGTAATATATAGTGTAGTCAAAGTCATGATGTAACGAGATTAAAAGATTCTCAGTAAAAGTAGAAGCAAAAAAAAAATAAAACAAGCAACATGGTGGACTTAACTGCAGATGTTATATATCTGTATATCACTGAAAATAAAATCTCTTACTAACTGTTAATTTGGCTTTGTTCATCAAACTACACAACCATGAAGAATTGTTTAGCAAAATTTCCAGTATGGAACTTTGTAAATTATTTTTAATATGTCAAATTATTCCCAATATGTTCTTCATAAACTGTAAAAATACATTTCTTTTAATTTATTTTTTAGTCACAAAGTTAGAACTGATAAACCAAAATATGCAAATGTGACAATAAAAATACATGTGAATATGAGAGCCTGTCAAAATACAATCAAAAGTGAGTTTTTAGAATGAAGTTAAAATTAAACACTTTCAATGGAATGCCATCAAACAAAATATGGAACAAACATTTTAGACAACCTAATAGAAAACAGTGGTAATCTATCGTGAAATTTCCTTATTTTTTTCTATAAAAACATTGTGAGAAAGTTAAAATTTCTCATTAAAATAAATATCACCACATTTCAAGATATGATTCTTTGTAGAATTTTAATGTCTAATAAGGAATGGAAATCCCTGATTTATTGACAAATAATTTGATGAACTAGTTATAAAATTTACTTTTTTTCATTTTTTCTTTTCATTTATAAGTTTTAACAAATTCTGAACAATAAATGCAGTTGCAATTACTTTTAGTTTTAAAACATAAAATAATGCAATTAAAAAAACAAAACCACAATAAAGTAGTAAATATTTCTTCTTACCTAACATCACAATAATATGTGTGAGCCACACCACCAATTTTTTGGATCATTTCAGCTGTAATTTGGTTTTGCTTTCCATCAATGTCCCATAGAACCAAAATACTTCCAAGTTTAGCAAACTCAATGGCCAGGGCCCTACCAATGCCATTAGCAGAACCTGTGATCAATACAATTTCTCCTTTTACACTTTTTGGTTTTGGTGGCACAAAAAACCTCCACCATGATTCCACAAATGCAATTATAATGTCTCTAAAAAGAAAAAGAATTTCTATAAAAATATTCACTTTTGGCTTCTTTTGTTGCTTACCATTTCCACAAGTATTTGTTGTTTGTTTTTTGGTAGAGAGAGGAGTAGAATGTCTCTTCACAAGTTGTTGTTCACACATTATGTAACTCATTTTAGTTGCTAACTTGTTTTTTTTTTACAGTTCTTACAATGATTTCTTTTTAAAATTTGATGTGTTTTTCTTAGTTCTTGTATTTGATGTATAATGTTATAAGAGATACAATGAAACCATGTATTTCTATATATTTTTTAAGAAAAAAAAAGGAACCAATTTAAAATTTGATTTTAAAAAGTTGATTATCTCAACTAGTTTCATGTGAAATTTTCCTCCTATTTTTTTCCTGTCGAAATCAAGGATTGATGAAATGTAGAATAAAGTTGATGTTTGTGATTTTCTATTTCTAAAAATTCTTGTATTGTTGACGAGGATAAGTAGTAGCAGTTGCCTCAGCCAAGCTTATCAGCTCAAATTGCAAAGAGGATGCAGCTAAATGATGAAAACCACCCCCAAAGGAAGTATTACTTCAGTCACTGTGAAATCTGCCACTTATAGCCAGAGAAATAATCCAGTGAGGCCTTGTCACTGAATAAATACGAGGTCACTGGATTACCCCACATGTATTTCATGGATAAAAATAAACTAATGCCAACCAGATTTAGTTATATAACAATAATCAATATGACCTTCCTAAGGCTTCTCAGTTTCCATGGAATTAATTGTTTGGAGTTTCCTTCTTTTAATTTGTATGTGTTTATATGTAAGTGTGAAGACTTACTTAATAAAAATGTTTAGAAAGACTTCATCTCAGCCACAAAATCTGACATGAATGTAAATAATAAGCAGTCCTAAGGGTTTCAAGATTATTCTTAACTTTTTGATCTGTATGAGAAAAATTTCACTCTTCCCAGAGAAAGAGATTTCTCAAACTCTAGACTAGTGATCTCCAAACATTTTGGTACAAAGAGACCAGCTTGGATTACAGTACACATTTCCATGACCAAAGAAAAAAAATCAATTATAAATATAAATTTTATTTGTATATATTTAATTTTAATTGCTTTTATTTATTCATTTCAATTAACATTTTTGTATACATAGAGAGGAATGTGCATTTGGATTCAATGATTGTAAAATTACTTATTTAACAAGTCTTTAAAAGACACATACAGAATACATAAACAAAGGAGTGCTGCTTAAATACACATTATTATATGGATTTATGTAATTATTTTAACTGAACCTGAAGTCAGACAGATTTTAGCTGAATTTTAATTTAAAACTTTCATTTTGTAACACTGATATATAGACTGTCCTGTTTATGACAATAAACTACATCAGCATCCTGGGTAAGACGATAAACTACGTCCAACAGCAAGAACTCTGATCAGGAGGCTTTGAAGAGCACAGAACCACCTCTTAATTACTGGTGTTCTCAAGTCCACCCTGACCCTTGGTGGTAGCACCTGTTAGGTTCCCAGCTATGGGCAAATAGTTAACCCCCAGACTGGGGTCAAAACACTATGAAAGTGAAGGTTTTAATACCAGAAATACTTTTAAAAAAAATTATTACCATCAATACATTTTTGGAAAAAAATATTACCAGCAATAAAAATCTTGTCAGCATTAAATAACACATTGTGGTTGATATACTGTAAAACAAAACAAACCAACTGATATATGGAAAAGCATTGGGGGGCATTCATAGAACCGTAGACAAGAAAGGAAATTATGTAAAAAAATAAATATCTTTATATTAAATAGAGATACATTTCATTTATATTATTTACATGCAGACTAATGTTCTCATCTTTGTTGTTATCACATTTTGAAATTTCAAGAAATTCAGACAGAAAATAAATATTTGTTAGTGTTATGTAAAATACTTTCCTATCATGATAAGTCAGTTATGTGCAATGCATGATACATGCTTAGGCGATCATGTATCTTTCGATGCATGACTGACAAGGCTGATTTTTTCTTGCAGTAGGTTGCCATTTCTTTCTGCGGTAGACCAGTTGCCATCCAAGGCTATAGAACTCGGTTTCTCTTGCTATATACCCATAGCAGGGGGGGAGGAGAAGAGGATTTATACGAGTATTAGCACATAAATGAATGTAATGGATTCAACAGGAATTCGAACTCGGCTCTCCAATTCCTCAATCTAAGCCACTATCCATTACTCCACGTTCCATCATGATAGTGAACTTTTAACAAACTTAAACACTACTATGGCTGCATAAATCTCTCTGTTTTTCTTAATCACACACACACACACACACACACACACACACAAACGTATATATATATATATATATATATATATATATATATATATATATATATATATATATAATCAGCATGATTGTAATTTATTGAAGAGGTTCTGACTATCCTTGTATGTTCCTTATACTAGATGACATACGTTCCTGTGGAAGGATAATGAATACTAACTTCATATCTGTCAATCTATTTAAATGATTTTAGAGACTCCCAGATATTAGCCTTTTGAAATTGATTCAAGTATTTTAATTAAAGTAAGAACATATTTTTGATTCAACTGAATTTATAATTTTTTATTTAACGATTTAATCTCGGCATCTTTTTGCTTTTCTTGATCCTTTTGGATATATAAGTCAAGTGCTTTTTTATTCTAATTTGGGACTTCTTTGTATCTATGTCATATAGTCATACACCTCACACAAGGATTGATAAAAAGAAGCCCTTAAAATAAAAAAAAATATGACATTTGGTTATTTGGTTAAATGTTTGTGGGGAAATGGGTTAGATTCAAGCATGTAGCTAAAGTTGAAAGATATATAAAGCAGAGTAAACAATTATAGTGTATATCTCTATAACTGACAATAGTAATAAAGATAAGTATTAACTAGTTTACTTATGTGTGTCTTAAATGACAGCATATATAAAATTGATACTTTGTTAAGTCCTCACTATTATCAAGTTTCTGCAGATGTATCTTTTTAAAAATATATTTTATTCCAATTATTATTAGAAAGATTGACTTTCATAAAGTGGTTTCATCAACATATTTCTGTACAGTCTGCCATTGCCCCATTGATGATGCCAGTGCAAAACCAGTATAGGAAAATAATGCACAAAAATATATATATGAGAATTGCAGTTATAAATGTATATAGTATTATTAAAAATTATAAGCCAAAAAGTCATATCTAGCTGTATATAATGTCTGTCCACAAAGTATCTGGTCAATATAGTTTGGCAACCAACTAGAAAGGCTTTTACTGTGCATGTGTAAACACTCTCCCATGAGGTTACTCAGTCCACAATGAGATCCCATTGAGTGAGCTTGTGTATTGCATGACTACCACATTCATGGTACATATGCATGAACTTTTGAAACGTTGACATTAGTCAACACAAACTATACAAATGATTAAAAAGACTTTCAGGGGATGATTCAATGATCAAAGCTCAGATGAAATTTTGTGACCAATGCTTCAAACTTGACCAGGAACCCTTATTCTGGAAGACCTTCAACAAGTAGAATATCAGAAAATGTTAAACACATGCATGTTGTAATTAAAGAAAATCAGTAGTTAACAATGAATGAATTAGAAAAGGATCTGAATGTCCCCACTGATTGTCTGGAAAGTAACCAGCCATTTTGAATACTTCAACTGTCCAATCATCAAGTCAGATGCATGATTTTTGGCAAAACATTATGTCATTCAAGTATGTAAGTCTTGTATGCTACAGGTTTGGTTTCCTACAAATTCTGTCTTTTCTCAAGACTAATATCATTAAAAGGAGTAAATTTCAGACCATGGATGTGATTATAGAGAATATAACAAAGCAGCTGATAGCAATCTCTAAAGAGGATTTTTCAAATGTGTAAGGGACATTGGAATAATTGAAGATATTTAGTAGGAGACTAAAATACCATTGTTCAAGGAAGGCTACATTTTTATTAATAATAAATAACTGGGTAGATCAATTCTTGACAGACATTGTATATGCAAGTCTATGCACCCCCCCCCCATATATATATGAAGGTGGATTGAAAAATGGAAAAAAGAATTTTGATATTTCATTATTCGTTCAGATTTTGGAGGGTGAGCTGAGCCAATAATTTTTTGATACCTCATTGGACATATTCAAGAGAGAAAGAATATACAGTACTGAGATGGTTCACAGCTAATGTGCTACCCTCAGCCAAAATGTACATATATAGATAACAAGATTTATTATGTTTAGCATAGTCTGGAACAAAGACAAATGGTGAGAATAGAAATTAGGAGATTAGTAACCTTCTTAAATAGGGAAGTCTACATTGAAAATCATCATTTGAAAACTAGATATTTACTTGAGCTCAAATTTGTTCAAACTATTTGTTGTTACTACTAGGAGAAGGTTTTTTTTTTCCAGAAAATAGTGAACAGAAAAGCATCTGTGTTACATGATTTGCTCAGAGCAGAATTCTGGAATTGCTAGAATGAACTTTGCTACTATTTATTTTCTGATCAACATCATTTTTTTAAAGACAGCCTCTCTTTTCTTAAAAATTGTACATCTATAAAAGGCTGAAGAATGGATTGGAAATGGCAACATAAATATCCAGATTGAATCCAGCTTCACAAAGTTTATAGAAAACATAAATACTTAGATGCAGAAATATAGATAATATAGGAAGTTGTACATTATCTGCATCAATGAAAATATTTGATTTTGTTGATATTTATTTAGATTATCTTCATCTCTGGTCATTGTCTGATCATCCTTTATAT